CCTCCCAAGTAGCTGGGACTATAGGCGCCCACCACAATGCCTAGTTATTTTTTTGGTTGCAGTTTGGCCAGGGCCACGTTCGAACCCACTACCCTTAGCACCCTACTCACTGAGCCACAGGTGCCGCCCAGTAAACTTCATTTTTTTTCTGAGATAGAATCTCTCAGTGTTATCTGGGCTGGAGTGCAGAGATACCATCATAGCTCACTGCAGCCACAAACTCCTGTGCTCAAGCGATAATTCTGCTTCACCCTCTTCAGCTGGGACAACAGGTACACACCACCACACCTGTCTAACTTGTCTATTTTTCGTGGAGACAGGTTCTCATTCTGTTGTCCATGCTGATCTCTAACTCCTGGCCTCAAGTGATCTTCCTGCCTCAGCCTCCCAAGTGCTAGGATTATAGGCATGAGCCACCACACCTGGCCAGAAGGGAAGATTTGACACAGACCTACCTGGATTTGAATCGTGGCTCAGCCACCTCCCCTAAAATTGTGTGACCTTGAGCCATCACTGAACCGCACTATGCCTCTCCTGTGGAATAGTGATAATGAGAGAGAGTCAGAAGGTAGAGGTGAAGATTTAATGGGAAAGGTATATAAAGTGTCTGGTACATGGAAGTCACTCCATAAATCATGCTTGGTCGTCCCAGCATGGAGAGAGGTGAGCCTGAGGCAGCAGATCCAGCAGATGGTTTGGGATAGAGCTGGTGCAGATGCCCATATACTGGGTATATTGTCACCTGACCTTAATTGTCATCAGAGGAGCCAGACAAGCCTTAGTTCCAATTACTGTTATACTACTTCCTAACTGTGTGACTTTGAGATGACTTCATCTGAGACTCAATTTCCTTATCCATAAAATGGGTGGGGGGGGCGGTGCTTGTGGCACAGTAAGTAGGGTGCCAACCCCATATACTGAGGGTGGTGAATGTAAACCCGGTCCCGGCCAAACTGCAACAAAAAAATAGCCAGGCGTTGTGGCAGGTGCCTGTAGTTCCAGCTACTCAGGAGGCTGAGGCAAGAGAATCGCCTAAGCCTAAAAGCTGGAGGTTACTGTGAGCTGTGACAGCACTCTACCATGGGCGATAAAGTGAGACTCTTGTCTCTACAAAAAAAAAAAAAAAGAAAAGAAAAGAAATGGAGGTCATAATTGTTTTTATTTCCCACAGCTATGAAGATTAAATGAGATAGTAAAGTGAACACTTAGCATAGTAATTGGCACATAGTAGGCAGTTGTTTTTGTTTGAGAGAGAGTCTGGCCTTGTCACCCAGGCAAGTGCAGTGGCATCAGCCTAGCTCACAGCAATCTCAAACTCCTGGGCTCAAGCAATCCTCTTGAGTAGCTGGGAATATAGATGCCCACCACAATGCCCCACTAATTTTTAGTTTTCTTTCTTTGGTTGAGTATTTTTTTTTTCGAGACAGAGTCATACTCTGGTGCCCTAACTAGAGTGCTGTGGCATTATGGCTCACTGCAACCTCAAGTTCTTGGGCTCAAGCAATCATCTTGCCTCAGCTTTTCTATTTTTAGTAGAGATGGAGTCTTGCTATTGCTCAGGCTAGTCTCAAAATCCTGAGCTCAAGTAATCCTTGGCTTCCTAGAGTTCTAGGATTACAGGTGTGAGCCATGGTGCTGGGCTGGCAGTTGTTGAATGTTAACTCTAATAATGACAATTATTATTGATATCTGCAGTTCCTATCTTCACTAGAGATTAAGATTCTTGAACTTTGCTTCAAGGTTGTCTGGCAGTAGGAACATTAGTCTTTTTGTTTGTTTTTTTGAGACAGTCTCACTAAGTCATCCTGGGTACAGTGCTCTGGTGTCACAGCTCAC